CTCTGAAGTTTCTCGGATCTCATAAACAATCTAATAATGTAAACCAATCTTACTATGCTGTAACCGCGGTATGGGTGTGTTTTTCTTGTGGTTGAAGGGACTATTTACAGTCGCTGTGCCCCCCTCTGTTTTGGTTGAGTGACATCACACATTCCTGATCATGAAACACACACACACACAGACTGTGACCTCTCCATACTGTGTCCTGACCCAGTCTGTAATATTCGAGAGTTGCAGTATAATAGGATACACTCATAATGTGTATGGAAAAAAATCTCCAATCTCCCAGTTAACACATAGGAACAAGTTTGTTTGCGTCCTAGATGGAGCCTGAGTGTGCATATATTGTCTGACAGCCCCAGTTGATGTGGAAAAGTGAGTATGTTGACGGGTCCTCTAGGCTGCTGCTGGTGTGATTGAAACAGAAGAGTTAACACTCACCATCATTCCCTTCAAGCAATAGGCTTAACTTTATTACTTTCTCACACATATTCACTAAAAACAGCTGATGGTATTATTGCAGTAACTCCCCCTGAGACCATGTTCACATGCAAACTGAGGTTATCAAATGTGCAAGTCAGTTTTTGAATGCATGAAGCAGAAGTGAAGCTAAGTTGTGTTATATTTGCAATTATATTGCAGTAAAGATGGGTGCATGTATGCCATTTATAATGTGCATGACCACAAGATACATTAGAGGAAGTATCATAAAGCATTCTCTATTATATTTAGGAATTTCAAATTTAAAACTGAATGAAAAAGTTTGTGTGCCGTCTTCAGCATCAAAGTGTATTTTCACTTCCTTCTTGTAATATCTAGTGTGGTTAATTCAAACATGTGGTAACAACGGGGGTTTTTGGAAAACTTGAGCTCATTTGGTTTCACCGATTATGTTAATTGGTCTATTTCTGTCTTTAGTGCCTCATTAAACAAGAAAAAATAGAAACATATTAGATTAACAGATTTTAGGGGTGGGCAATGTGGGCAAAAACATTCACAATATGTTCTGGAATTCTGATGGTGTCAATAATCAGTTCAATTGAACATCTTTTACAGTGATATTTTCTTCAGGCATACAATGCCTAATTCTCACAGTTTTATAAGGATAACTGTTTCTGTCATGTAAAACCAAGCATATATTTTATCCAGAGGGCTTTTACAATCTGCACAGCTTACAACACCTTCTATCTTTAGACTGCTGATTAAAGCTAGTTTGTTTTAAGGCAATCACATTTGCATAAAAGCACATGCAATTGCAAAATGTAGTCAGATTCAAGTAACCACTGTGTGCT